CTCTCTCTCTCTCTCTCTCTCAAAAATAAAAATAAAACATTAAATTTTTTAAAATTATTTTAAATATATTATTTATGAAATCAATATAACAACACTACAGAATAACTGAAAAATAGTAAGAAAAATCACCTAAAAGTTTATATCTAGTGCAACTATGACCATGGAGCTTACGGTCTACTCAGGGGAGGCAGTCAGTACACTCATAAAAAAATAGATAAGAAAATTATCAAAAGGAGGTAGGTGATGTAAAAACTGGGTGAGGTAGGGACTCCTGGGTCTCAGTTGGTTAAGTGGCTTCAACTCAGGTTATGATCTCACAGCTCAGGAGTTCAATCCTCACGTCAGGCTCTTGTGCTGACAGCTCAGAGCCTGGAGCCTGCTTCAGATTCTGTGTCTCCTTCTCTTTCTGCCCCTTCCCTGTTCTCTTTCTCTCTTTCTTTCTCTCTCTCAAAAATATATAAACTTAAAAAAAATTAAAAAACAGTGCGAGATAATAGAGAATGACTGTAGCTTCTCTCCTATGGGTGATCAGGAAAGGCTTCTCAGAGGAGAGAACATTTAAACTAAGACCTAAGTGACAAAAAGTGCCATCAGTGGGACAGAGAAAACAGACGATGCAAAGGCCTTGAGATGAGGAGTCTGGTATGTATGAGGAACAGACAGGAGGCCAGCCTCAGTGTGACAAAGTCTAGGAGAAAGGGGGAAGTGCCAGGTAGGAGATGAGGTTGAAAAAGGGGGCTGGATGTACAGGGAGGAATTGTGGGCCAGCAGGAGCTCTGCAGGGATCTACCAGGGGGATGACTGGACCCCACTGCACTGAAGGTAGAATCCCAAAAGGCACTGTAATGAGGGGCAAGAATGAGTGCAGGGAGACTAGTCATGAGGCCATCATAACTTTTCAGGTGAGAAATAAGCATGCTTGGATAGATTCAGGGGTATGTTTAAGATATTGAAGAGACAGAATTTGCTATACCTTCTATTTAAATACAAGACACATGTTTGTTTCTTATGTCAAACTGTTCTAGTCGGGATAAAAATGAGGTATTACATTATTAAAAGTAAAGGTAATATACTGACCTCTTCCAGTACTTTCACTGAGTTAAACTCAGTATGTGAGTATGAATGCTTGGAAATGTGATGCTGTCTGTATTTCAGATCTGCTCTCAACTGCTGAATAGGATTTATCACATTTTTAAGATACACGCACCATTGTTCTGATAACTCTTGTTCTATGGAGAAACAAAATTAAATCCAGGTAACACTTTATTATTTTTTTAAGTTTATTTATTTACTTTGAGTATGTGTGTGTGTGTGCGTGCACACGCACACATGCAAAAGCTGAGGAGGAGCAGAGGGAAAGGAGAGAGAAAAACTCCCAAGCAGGCCCTGCACTGTCAGAGCAGAGCTGACAAGGGGCTCAAACTCACAAATGGTGTGTGCGTGATCATAGCCTGAACCTAAACCAAGATTCAGCAACTTAATCAACTAAGCCCCCCAGGCGCCCCCAGGTAATATATTACTATTCTAAATTTCTTCAAGAACAGGATATTAAGAGTGCAGATTAGCTTTGGATTCCTTTAGGAAAAAAACTGGCAGTTAACAGTAAGAAAACATAAAGTGAGTGGCCCACTTTCATCTTCAAAACAAAACTCCCCTTTAAATATAGGATAAAAACAAAAACCAAAAAACCTCACCAAAATTTGTAAGGTCAGTAAGACATTCATTTCCAATGTTCTCTTCATTGAGAAAGGATTTTATTTCAGATTCCATTTTATACCTGAAATAGATATTATCTCTATCAGCTTTTTAAAAATAATCATAAACATACATGGGTTTAAAAATATCTAAAAATAGAAATTTAATCTATTTTTTTAATGTTTATTTATTTTTGAGACAGAGACAGACCATGAACGGGGGAGGGTCAGAGAGAGAGACACAGAATCTGAAGCAGGTTCCAGGCTCTAAGCTGTCATCACAGAGCCTGATGCGGGGCTCGAACTCACGGACCGTGAGATCATGACCTGAGCCGAAGTCGGACGCTTAACCGACTGAGCCACCCAGGCGTCCCTAGAAATTTAATCTAATGTGGTCCCATTCACCTATTCATGTATTCAGACCATATACTAAATTCCTAATATGGATTGGACACTTGCCAGACACTGACACAGAAAGAAGCACAGATGAACACTTCAGTTAGAAGTAACAGCGTGAGAAAAGGCAAGTGCCTGGCACATCCTGGCAATGCTTCCTATGGAAAGAGCTTAGGGCACTAGGAAGCCACTGAGGGATATTAAGCTGATCTCACCTGCCCAGCAGATCTGTGTTTCAGAAAGATTCCCAGGCAGGGGAACCTGGGTGGCTCAGTAGGTTAAGCCTCCGACTTCAGCTCAGGTCATGGTCTCATGACTCATGGGTTCAAGCCCCACATGGGGCTCTGTGCTGACAGCTCAGACCTGGAGCCTGCTTTAGATTCTGTGTCTCCCTCTCTGCCCCTCCCCAACTTGTGCTCAGTCTCTCTCTCAGAAAATGAATGAGCATTAAAAAAAAAAAAGAAGAAGAAGAAAGAAAGATTCCCATGTAGCAAAACAGAGGATGAGTTGGAAGGAGGGGTAGTCAAATAAAAACAGAAAATGAAAAGGAGAGGATCAGGTTAACCTGGACCAACAAGGTAGTTATTCCAAAAGTTTAGAGATGATGAGGTCCTGAACCAGAGAAATGAGAGTAAAGGTATGTTTTGTTTTTATAGACTAATAAAAGCAATAAATCTTAATGATTTTTATTTTATTTCAATATAGTCATTTTTAGAGTACAACCATAACCAGCTGAAACTGGACATCTGAAAACATTGTAGTCTATCCCTTGCTTATGGCAGATTTAACGAAATCATAGAAAAGAGTTTTGATTTGTTGTGATTGTTAAAATATAATATTGGAAATGGTATAAAATAAGAAATTATCAACAATTATAACACTTTAATACAATTATTATTTTTATTTTTGCATATAAGTTTCTAGCCCTTGTCCATAGGCATATGTATGTTAAATAACTATAATTATGAATTAATTGGTAATTAATGGTAATATTCATCATCTTATATTGGGGTTTTTCAATAACATTTAAGATATTTCTAAATAATTCTCATAATTATCCTTTATTTTAATGGCTGCATGGTATTCTATTTTATATATGTGGCATCATCTTCTAAACCAACTCACTTACATGGGACAGAGACTTTATTTGCATGTATAAAGGGGGGGGGTGCTATTGTAGATGACACTTCACTGTCTACTCTTTATGTAGTTTTTGCCAGAAGTATTTTTAAGATTACATTTGAAACTGTTACATGGAGAATGGGTGCAAAACCTAAGCTCTAAAACCAGAAATTATTGCATAGTGGATTTGTATAAACAAAAACATAGTACTTATCAACCTTCTAGCTCTCCTACCTATATTTCAGCATCCAGAAAGTCATAGTAAAACATATAAGCCAACAGGAGAAGTAGATTTGTTCACACAGGAGACCAACCTGCTACTTGCATGTAAGTTCCATCCTAGTTTCCTAGATTAACAACCCTACCCATCTGCCAAGACCTTTTTGCTGATTGTCCTGATGGCCCAACAAAATCCAAAAGCATTTTTTATGCCTTCTAGAACTATGACAATCTGAAACTAGCTTGTGAATGAAGGCTAACATTTCCTGAATTGTGTTCTATAAAACAGTAATGTCAATGAGATGCCATGGGGAGGGAGGGGGATGGGAAATAGTAAATAAAATCAGATATGTTTCTACAGTGAAGGATTTCTCAAAAACTTGATTATGCTAAAATACAACGAAGTTATACAAAAACGGTAGGAAATGTATTTTCTAATTTAGAGGAACATGAAATTCATTATTCTCCATGGAGTAACTTGCAGAATATTTGTCTTGCAGAATATGATTTAGTAAATATGAAGATTGTGGTGCAATTCAAGAGCATTAAAAATGGTAACTCTGGAGAAGAGAACCCTGCCCTGTTCATCAATGACATGCTAGACTAGGCCCCCGGGTTCTTCAAGTTGGAACTCTGTGCAGATTATAACCTCCTCCCCATCTGAAGAGGGAACAAATATAAGGCAACTTTCTGTGCCCATGTATGCCAATTTAAGTACCTCCCAATGCTGTATGGGCTATCCTCTGTTTCCAATAAATATGATGGTACTACAAAAAAGCCTTTTGAGTTCTTGTGTGACCATTTGCCTAGATGATATGTTAATCTACTTCCTAGATCTGCCTAGTTGCAATGTAACCACCTGTAAGGTAAACCAGCCTGGTGAAGCGTGTTCTTGAACTCTCAGGAGTCTACTGTCATATAGGTCCTCATCCTTCCAGGAGGGTGCCAAAGTTATAGATGTAGAATCTGTCTCCTCAGAACATCAAACATCCCCAGAGCTTCCTGAGATGACTAGGCTAGCCACTTAATTATCAGTTTTGGTAGAACAAGCAAACTACAGGTCCAAGAATGGTAGTCAGAAGCCATTTAAGCAAACAATCAGCAAAGGGACGTGGATCACGAAAGGCAGAGCAAGAGAATACGTTAAAGTTCCAATAATGGAATTAATAGCCAGGAGACCTGCAGAAAATCAGCAGGTCAGAAAGCTTGGTTCCTTAGAATCAGCTATTGCATCCACTTCTCAGTTGAAAGAGTCTATCCCAAGTGAGCAAACCACAGAGGCAACAAAGGGAGTCACACAACCAATGGCTAGAGAATGAACTCAGGAGCTGGGCTTAGAGAGTTCTCTGATGCTCTGAGTCATACAGTGTGAATGCTGGTGTTAATTTTATCTTTAAAGGTGCATTTACAGACAACATTTAATTGTTGTTGGTAAAACCTCGTGATATCCTCTGTAAAAAGGTGATATTTAAAAAATGTTATAAAACTAAAAGCGTGAGCAAAAGACTATATGTATTCCTAACAGAGATTTGGTTATAAAACATCCCTGTGTAGTGAAAGTAGTAAGGTGTACAAATAAACCCTGCAAATTTTATGATTCAACAATTCTCGTTAAAATAAAAATTATAGGGCTGCTTGGGCAGTTCAGTAAGTTAAGCATCTGACTCTCGATTCCTGCTCAGGTTGGGATCTCATGGGTTTGTGAGTTCAAACCCCACATCAGGCTCCATGCTGACCATGCGGAGCCTGATTGAGATTCTCCCTCTCTCTGCCCCTCCCTAGCTCATGCATGTGCTCTCTGTCTCTCTCAAAATAAATAAAGTTTAAAATAAAAACTGTCTCTCTAAAGAAGACATCCAGATGGCCAATAGGCACATGAAAAGATACTCAATGTCATTCCTCATCAGGGAAATACAAATCAAAACCACACTGAGATACCACCTCTTGCCAGTTAGAATGGCTACAATGAACAAATCAGGAGACTATAGATGCAGGAGAGGATGTGGAGAAATGGGAACCCTCTTGCACTGTTGGTGGGAATGCAAACTGGTGCAGCCACTCTGGAAAACAATGTGGAGGTTCCTCAAAAAATAAAAAATACAACTACCTTATGACCCAGCAATAGCACTTCTAGGAATTCACCAAGTGGGAGGAGGTGTTATTAGTAACACTCAATGTTCATAGCAGCACTTTCATAATCAGTAAGCCAAATCTATGGACAAAGCTAAATCCATCCAACTGATGAACGGATAAAGAATGTGGTTTATAGAATAATGGAATATACTGCAATGAGAAAGAAATGAAATGTGTTCTTTGTAGCAAACGTGATGGAACTGCATGAGTGTATGCTAAGTGAATAAGCCAGTTAGAGAGACAGATACCATATGTTTTACTCTTAGGTGGATCCTGAGAATCTTAACAGAAGACCATGGGAGAGGGGAAGGGAAAAAAAATTGAGAGGGAGGGAGCCAAACCATAAGAGACTCTTAAAAACTGAGAATAAACTGGGGCACCTGGGTGGCTCAGTCTGTTGAGCATCCAACTTTGGCTCAGGTCATGATCTCACAGCTCATGAGTTCAAGCCCTGCATCAGGCTCTGTGCTGACAGCTCGGAGCCTGGAGCCCACTTCGGATTCTGTGTCTTCCTCTCTGTCTGCTCCTAACCCACTCACATTCTGCCTCTGTCTCTCTCAAAAATAAACATTTTTTAAAAAATTAAAAAAAAAACTGAGAATAAACTGATGGTTGATGGGGGGTGGGAGGTGGGTGATGGGCATTGAGAAGGGCACCTGTTGGGATGAATACTGGGTATTGTAAGAAAACCAATTTGACAATAAATTTCACATTAAAAAACTAAAAATTAAAAAAATAAAATAAAATAAAAACTGTCACAGAAAAGGTGTCATAAGAGGGAAGTATATAGTAATCCAGGCCTTCATAAAGAAGGAAGAAAGTTCTCAGATATACAACTTAACCTTACATCTCAATGAGCTGGAAAAAGAAAATCAAATAAAACCCAAAACCACCAGAAGACAGGAAATAATAAAGATTAGAGCATAAATCAGTGCTATCGAAATCAAAAAAACAGTAGAACAAATCAATGAAACCAGGAGCTGGTTCTCTGAAAGAATTAACAAAATTGATAAACCCCTAGCCAGTTTGATCAAAAAGAAAAAGGCAAGGACCCAAATATATAAAATCAAGAAAGAAAGAGGAGAGGGGCACCTGGGTGGCTCAGTGGGTTGTGTCCGACTTCAGCTCAGGTCATGATCTCACAGTTCGTGGGTTCGAGTCCCACATCAGCTTCTGTG